TACTGATTTCCATTCTTATTTTCTTCCCTCTACTTTTTATTTTTTGCTTAAGGTAGAAACTTAGATCATCAATTTTATATCCTTTTTCTTTTGTATAAAAGCATTTGAAGATGCAAATTTCTAAGCACTTATCTCATCCATATCCTGGCATGTTTTAATTGCCAATCAGTTAAAAAGATTCCTAATTTTCCTTATAATTTCCTTTTTGATCATGGCTTATTTAAAATATGTTGTTTAACTTCCAAATTTCTATGGATTTTTCGAGATAAACTGAAGCCTGCACACTACAATGAAGAGCCCATGTGCCACAATAAAGACCCAGCACAGCTAAAAACAAAATTTAAAAACAAAAATGCAGGACTTAAAGGGACCTGATTACAAACGGGGTCCTGACTAATGTTCAATTTATACTGAGTTCACTGGTTCTGTGGATCCACCTAAGAGTCACTTTTCTATTTGTCAACTGTACTGGAAGTCGGATCTATTCACTAACACTACCACATTGCATCTACAGCTTGTGGGATAAAAACTATCATACTGAGAAGGCCAATTGGAAGCCTCTGAAACTGTCCTCCCTCCAGTGAAGACAGTAAATTAGAACAATATTGATTAGATATGACAAGAAAAGCACAAGGAACCAAACATCATGAAAATGAAAAACTTCTGTGCTTCAAAGGACACTATCAATAAATTCAAAAGACAACTCACAGAATGGGAGAAAATTTTTGCACATCATGTATCTGACAAGAGACTTGTATCTAGAAATATAAAAAACTAGGACAACTCCGAGAAGGCAATGGCAACCCACTCCAGTACTCTTGCCTGGAAGATCCCATGGACAGAGGAGCCTGGTAGAGTGCAGTCCATGGGGTCGCTAAGAGTTGGACACAACTAAGCAGCTTCACTTTCACTTTTCACTTTTCACTTTCATGCATTGGAGAAGGAAATGGAAACCCACTCCAGTGTTCTTGCCTGGAGAATCCCAGGGATGGGGAAGCCTGGTGCACTGCCGTCTATGGGGTCACACAGAGTTGGACACAACTGAAGCAACCTAGCAGCAGCAGGACAACTCAACAACAAAATGATAAATAAACTAATTATAAAACAGGCAAAAGACCTGACTAGACATTTCTCCAAAGAAAATATACAACTGGCCAATAAGCTCATGAAAAGATTCACAATATCATGAACCATCAGGGAACTGTAATAAAATATCATTTTGTACCCACTAGGAAGGCTGTGATAAAAAGTCAGATAATAAAAAAAAAAGTCAGGTAATAGTAAGTGTTATCAAGGATGTGAAGTGAGAACTCTCATACTCTATTGGTAGGCATATAAAAATGGTAAAGTCACTTGGAAAACATTTTGGCAGTTCTGCATTTGACCCAGCAATCCCACTCCTAGGTATATAAGTCCCAAATGAAAATAGATGTCCACACAAAAACTTGTATACAGATGTTCATAGCACCATTATTCATAACAGCTAAAATGTGGAAGCAACTCAGATGCCCACCCAATGCATGGATAAAGTGTGGCTATCCATATAATGGGACATTATTTGGCAATAAAAAGAAATTAAATACTGATACATGCTATAACATGGTTGAACCTTGAAAACATTACACTTAGTGAAAGAAGCCAAATACAAAGGACCACATATTGTATAATCCCATTTAAACAAAATGTCCAAAATAGGCAGATCTCTTTAAGAGACTTGAGTGGACTGGGAGTTGCCTGGGAAAGGGGGCAAATCCTGGGGGGAAATGAGGAGTAACAATGAGTATGGGGTTTCTTTTGCAGGTGATGAAAATGTTTTAAGATTTTGGTGATGGTTGAACAACTCCAGGAACATACTAAAAACCACTGAATTGCACACAATTGTTAATTGTATCTTAATAAAGCTGTTTAAAAAAGCAAATAAAAATATGGCAACCTAGTGGGAATATCATAGATTTGTACCACCATTAAATACTTAAAAGGATATAGAGTGATTCCTATAATGAGCTCATTTAATTCTCCCATTGGTCCCTTAGAAACCACGTAACAGCCTCAATCGCCTGCTGGTTCCTGGACACAGGGAGTCCATCGTGCCCCGGCAGCAGGTGTAGATCATGGTTGAATGGGATCCTTGATATGTCCCCTAGAAGGTGTGTGCTCCCTCTGGGGACCTGGATCTCTACCTGGCAAAGCCCAGAGTTCCGGGGATCCTCCAGGGGGTTTTGGAAATGATGGTAAGTGGGGCTACTCCTACTTCTACTCCTTTGTTGCTGGACTGTGTATACTTTCTGTTGTGAATACAGCTCATATTGAAGTTTCTGGCTTGAATATTAAACTGGCATGCCATCTTTACAGAGTACTGTCTCCATATTGGTGCTTGGGTTGTGCTTTCAGTAGGCCATTCCAGTGCCTGCTTCTAGATGGTGTGGTAGATTATGTAATTAATGGATCCATGGTCATGGGCTCATTCTTGCACCTCCTTCTCTGTGAATTGGGTCCCCTAAAAGGATGAAATGTTGCATAGATTCCGTCCCTATAAACACATATTCCGTAAGCACCCACATAATTGTGCTGGCTGAGGTTTTGCAGATAGGAAAGGCAAACCCATTTCCATAAGTAATTTGAGAACAAATTACTGCCCTTTCAAGAATGGAAGGGACCCAATTTAACAAACTTAACATAGAATGGTTATGATCATGAGGATGAATGGTCTGCAGTTTTAATTATCTTATAAAGTCTTTGGTCTGGTTTCGGTATCAGAATAATGCTGGCCTCAGGAAAGAATTGGGAAAAGTCCCTCTTTTAGTTTCAGTAAGACACTGCATAGAATTGGAATTATTTATTCCTTAGAATCATGGTAGAATTCAACTAGTGGAACTACCTGGTATAAATGTTTTCTTTATTGGATGGTTTTTAATTTCAAGTGTAATTTCTTTAAGAGTTAACAGAACTTGTCAGGTAATTTATTTCTTATTAAAATTTTAGTAGGGTATGTCTTTAAATGAATTGGTCTATTTCATCTAAGTTAATGAGCTTACAAGCACAGAAGTGTTCACAACATCCCTTACTTATCCATTTAAAGTCTGTCAGTTCTATAATGATGCTACTTTCTAGTTTCTTCAGGTGGAAGCTTAGATTAATTGTTCAAGACCTTTCTTCTTTTTCAATATAATTTAATGCTATATATTTCTCCCTAAGCAGTGTTGTAGCTGCATCCTGCAAACCTTGATGTTGTTGGGTTTTTGTTTGGTTTGGTTTTACTGAAGAATAGTTGATTTACAGTATTGTGTTAGCTTCTGGTGTATAACAAAGTGATTCAGTTATACATACACACATATACATATATATATCCTTTTTCATATTCTCTTCCAATAAAATTTATTACAGGATACTAAATATAGTTCTCCATGCTACACAGTGGGACCTTGTTGTTTATCTGTTTTATATATATATATTGTTTGTATCTGATAATCTCAAACTCCTAATTTAGGGGTGGGGAAGGGTCCCCTAAATTAGGAGTTTGAGATTATCAGATAAAACAATAAATAAGTTCATCTGTATCATATTTTAGATGCCATATAGAAGTGATATTATATGGTATTTGTCTTTTCTTTCTGACTACTTCACTTAGTATGACAACTTGATAATCACTAGGTCCATCCATCTATGTTGCTACAAGTGGCATTATTTCATTCTTTTTTATGTCTGAGTATTCACTGTATTCATGAGTATTCCTTGTATACCACATCTCCTTTTGCTGCTGGTGGGTTTTTTTTTGGCCACATCATGTGGCATGTGAGATCTTAGTTTCCCCACCGGGAATCAAACCTACACCCCCTGCAGGGGAAATGCAGAGTCTTAACCACTGGACTGCCAGGGAAGTACTGATGCTGTATTTTTATTACATTCTACTAAAATATTTTCTAATTCTCTTTGAGAATTCTTACTTGACTCCTGTATTATTTAGAAGTATGTTGTTTAACTTCCGAATATTTGGGGATTTTTCAGTTATTTTTGTGTTACTAATTCCTACTTTAATTCCATTACAGTCAGAGACCATACTTAGCGTGATTTAAATTATTTTAACATCATTGAGGTTTGGGGTTTGGCCTAGCTTACTCAGGATATACTCTGTGTGCAATTTTAAAGACCATGTGTTCTGCTGTTGTTGGTAGGTCTATAAATGTCAATTAAGTAAAACTGATTTGATAATGTTGCTCAGGACTTCTGTATCTTTACTGAATTTTTTGGTCTACTTATTCTACCAGAGAAGAAGTAGTATTTAGCTTTAGTTTTAGAAAAAGAGTATTTAGTTTTCCAAGTATAATTCTCTTATTTTTCCTCAGCTTTGAATACCTTAATACACTGTCATTCTTGAAGGATATTTTTATTAGATACAGAATTCTGAGCTGATCACTCTTTTTTCTTTACAACCTTAATTATACTGTTTCAACACAGTTTCTGATAAGCAATCCATAGTTATTTAAATCACTGTTCCCATATATATCATGTGTCACTGTCAGTTTGAGGGCCCTCTTAGGAGGCTGGAGTTTGTTCTTATGGGACAGTGAAGTGGGGTGAGGAAGAAGGCAGGAGTGTGGATGAAGGACGTCTAACAGAACCACTTGCTGGCAGGCCCTCATCATCTCTTGTCTGGATCAGTGTATATAGTAAACGACTAAGAGAGACACAAATGTTGTATCATGTTTAAGGAAAAACACAAAAATCTGCAAAATTGGAATAAGACTGTCTCTCCATCAGAAATAAATCTGAATAAGATAATTCAGGCTTACAATCATCCTTTATCTCATTACCTTACACATGTTTTTCATAATAAAATAAATGGTTCCAAGGCCATCTCATCATGAGGATACCTAGATTTAACGCTTAAATTTTAACAAATTCTCGTCAGATACATTTTAGAATACTGTGAGAACTTATTGTTCTAAACTATTGAGAAAAAAAAATCTTTGCTGTTATAATGAAATAAAATGCATACTTACTCTGAATAATATTTCTTCATTCCATTTTGGATTCAAAGTCTGAAAGATAATAAACACAGTATAACTAACTTTTCAATATTTCATTATACAAAAATAAAACAACGTATACTTAAAAATGTTTAAATACTCACCTTTTTAAGGGTTTTTGTTTGCACACTTGTAAAAACTCCATTCATTGGGTCATATAACGTCACTCGCACGTAAGGATCACTGTTAAAATTTTTAAAAATTTAATTGTTATTTAGTCCCAAACTCAGGTTACTCAAACTACAAAAATCACAGAATTTTCCTTGTTAACAATTTCTACAATTATTTTCTACACTTAAAAGTAAGTGTTCCTTAGGCAGGGGTAAGTAATTATAGTAATCGTAGGATCTAGCTAAAAAGCTGAAATGCTATGATAGAGAAACAGAAAAAGAATTAGAATCTTTTAATCACAATTCAATGATTTCCAACCTCTTAATGTTTTTGAAATTTTGTTTAATTTTTTATTACATGCCTTCTTCTTCTGGGTTAAGAGGGTTAATCCAATGATTTTCAAGAATAGCTTTGTAAGACCTCAAGGTAGTTTCAAGTTATCTCATAGGTATAAACTCTTCTTACAAAATAAAGACAAAGTGTTTGAGTTCAAAATAATTGTGTGCCAGGTAACCCTGTACAAAGAGACATGGAGAAGGAAAACCTTGTGATATTCAGGTTTGCAAAGCAAAAGACTTGACATTTTACTTTTCCATGGTCAAATTTCTCTCGTGTCCCTTGGGGATCCCAAGTACCCACTATTTTCCCTCCCATTTCTCCCTCCTCCCATTTCTGCTTGCAAGCTTGGTGCTACTGCTGCTGCTAGGTCGCTTCAGTCCTGACCGACTCTTTGCAACTCTATAGACTGTAGCCTGCCAGGCTCCTCTGTCCAAGGGATTTTCCAGGCAAGAATCCTGGAATGGGTCATCATGCCCTCCTTCAGGGGATCTTCCTGACCCAGGGATTAAACCCATGTCTCTCATGCCTCCTGTACTGGCAGGTGGGTTCTTTACCACTAGTGCCACCTGGGAAGCCCCCATCCAACCTTATCTCTTACTTTAATTGACGAAAATCAAAGGCATCACAATACTCCCAACATCCTGGTATTTATCAGAGTCCATCCTACCCCAACTTCAATGGTTCAGGTATTTCACCCAATCGCCCTTGTCCAGTGTCCTTCCACCTTCTCTGGAACCTTGCATCATCTATTTTGACTTAGGTTTTTCCAGTCATATAAATGTCATTAAGCTTCTCCACTCCCTGACTCTCCTTCATGCTTCCAGCAAAGCAAACTAGACTTCCTTCCTGTCCCAGTCAAAGTTCACAAGTGAAAAATCTGTAACGATAACGACACAGACAACAACGAACACATATGCAGCCGTTACTCTGTGTCAGGCACTGTTATAAATGGTTTATATATACACATATTAACTTTGGGGATCCTGGTAACAACCTATGAGGCAGGTATGGTTATTATCTGTTTTAAACACAGTCAACTTTAAGTTGACTTAAAAAAGTCAACTCATCCCAAATGACACAGCTCGGAAGCGGAACAGTGAGGACTGAAACTAAGTACCTGGCTCCAGAGACCCTGTTCACAACCACGACAGCCTACAACCTCCCTTCCTTCGTTTCCCCAACAGCCAGTGGTCTTCAAAGCCCTATAATCTGGCTTCCACCTCTTTCTTTCAGACCCAGTCCATGAAAAGTCACCAATCATGCTAAAACAATTGACACTTTCTAGTCACTTATTTTGCTGGCTTTCTATATGTTTGATATTACTGACCATTTTCTCCTTGAAACTCCTCTCATTTCGCTTTCATGACACAAGACCCTTCTGGTTCTTTCTTTTGTTTTCTCTACATATTTCCTTCAAAATCTCACCCATGGTTTTAACAACTAACTGTATACTCACAAATATAAATATAAAACATAAATGCAAATATAAATATATATTCCTGATCTCACAACCCAGCTAGACACTTCCACCTCGATAGTTCACAGATAATATCTGTTCAAGAATTTTGCCCATTTTTAATTGGCCATTTTATCATATTATTACTAAGTTATAAGAAGTTTTTATATGCTGTGAATTAAAGGTGCTTGTCAGATACTTGTCTTGAAAACATTTTCTCCAATTGGTGGCTTGCCTTTTCCTTTTCTTAACTGTGTCTTTCAAACAACACAGTGTTTCAGACAGTAAAGAATCTGCCTGCAATGCAAGAGAGCCAGGTTTGATCCTGGTTTGGGAAGATCCCCTGGAGAAGGAAATAGCTACCCTCTCCAGTATTCTTGCCTGGAGAATCCCATGGAGAGAGGAGCATGGCGGGCTAGAGTACACAGGGTCGCAAAGAGTTGGACAGGACTGTGACTATCATTTTCACTTTCAACTGTGTCTTTCAAACAACAGAAGTTTTTAATTCTAATGAAGTCTGTTTCAACATTTTTCTTTCAAATTTTTATGATGCATATTTTTTTAGTCTTATTCAATAAATCTTTGTGTAACTCAGTAGAGCAAATATTTTCTATGTCTTCTGCTAGAAGTTTATTAATTTTAGCTCTTATTAATTTTCTATATTATATAACGACAGAGCTTAATTTTGTTCCACACCTATAACCAGTTGTTCTAGTATCATGCATTTAAAAGATTATCCTTTCTCTTGAATTACCTTAATGCTTAAAGCAACTGACCACATACATGTGCATATGTATGCGTGTATGCGTGTGGGGGGGGAGTGCGTGTACTTCTACACACTTTATTATAGTCCACTGAACAATATAGCTACTCTTATGCCAATGCTGCTTTGTCTTGATTGTCTGTATAGAAAATCTTGAAATTATGTTGCATAAATTCTCCACCTATGTGGCCTATGTTCTTTTTCAAAATTGTTTTGGCTATTCTGTGTCCTTTGACTTTTCATAACAATATTGGAATCAGTTCATCTGTTTCTCAAAAAAAGTGCTGGGATTTTTATTAGGATTGAGCCAAATCTACTCAATTTGGAGAGAAATACAACTCTAACAATAATGTATCTTCAATCCATGAATATGACAATGTTTATCTACTGATTTAGATCTTCGATTTCCCCGAGTTAGCAATGTTTTGTAGTTCTCAGTGTGCAGTACTTGCAAATCTTTTGTTAAAGTTATTTCTTCTAAGTTTTTAATTTTAAATGAATTTTAAATTTTAAAAATTCATTTTCCAATTGTTAACTGATTGATCAGTTCAGTTCAGTCGCTCAGTTGTGTCCAACTCTTTGCGACCCCAGCATTCCAGGCTTCCCTGTCCATCACCAACTCCTAGAGCTTGCTCAAATTCATGTCCATCAAGTCGGTGATGCCATCCAACCATCTCATCCTCTGTCGTTCCCTTTAGAAGATGTAAGAATATGACTAATTTTTGTACAATGACTTTGTATCTTGTGGCCTTATATTTTAGCTCTAGCAGCTTTTTTTTTTGTAGATTCCTTAGGGTTTTCTATGTACATGATCTGACTCTCTGCAAATAAAAAGTTTTTCCTTTTCAGTCTGTACTTATTTTTCCTTTCCTAGTCATATTGCATGCCTAGGATATCTAGCACAATGTTGAGCTGAATGTGAAAGCAGACAAACTTTCTTATTCATGAGTTTAAGCAGAAAGCATTCAGACTGTCATCACTGGCCACAATGTTAGCTACTATCTTTCTCACAGAAAACCTTAATCATTTCTACAACTTTCATCTATCCCTAGTTTGCTAAGAGTTTCCATCATGAATGACTGCTCAATGATGTCAGATGCTTTTTCTGTTTTTACTGAAATGATTGCTTTTCTTTTATTCTAGTAATACAGTATATTATATTGATTAACTTTCAGATGTTAAACTATTCTGCATCTTATTAGTTTGTTGACAGTTTTTATCATAAAAGGATGTTGAATGTTGACAAATGCACTTTCTACACCTACTGAAACGATCATGCTGCTTTTTTTTTCTGGACTATATTAATATGACAGAGGTTGACCTGAACAAATCTTATATTCATAAGAAAAATCCCATGTGCTGAAATCCATTTATCAGACATTCAAAACTCCACTTTAGTCATCATATGCTTACTGTTTGTATGGCATATGCATCCCTTCTCTTTCATCTTAGCTGTGTCTTTGTATTTTAAGTGCATCAGTTATAGACAGTACTTAGTTGGGTCTTCTTTTTCAGCCCATTCTAATAACTTCTACCTCATGTTCACCTTACTTCATTAATGTTTAATGCAATTGTTATGGTTAGATCTAGGTGTATCAAATTATTACTGGTTTTCTATTCTTTCTTTCCCTTTTCGCTCTCTCTTTTTTTTCTGATCATGTGTTCTTTTCCTGGCCTTTTAAGTATTTTTTTTCCCAAGAATCTCATTTTAAAATTTTGATTGCTTTTTAATCTATAATTCTTTAGATTAATTTTCAGCAGTTCATCTAGGTATTGCAATATACACTCTTACTTTTTATTCCACTTACACTTAATATATTACATTCTACTAAAAAGTTCATAATGTATACCATCCCTGTCCTTTATGCAATAATCATTATATGTATTCCATCTATAAGATAATAAAAAAAAACAATAAGCTGTGATATAAACAGGCATGCTTTTTAAAAAATTATGATGAAAAGAGCAAAAAGTCTTTCAGATGTTTCCAGATGGTTACCATTTCTGATGTTTCCATCTGCTATCTACCCTCTTTACCTGGGAGAACTTCCTTTAGATTTTATTAGAGTGCAGGTCTGCTAATGACAAAGTTTCAAAGTTTTCTTTTATCTGAAAATGTTGTTATTTTGTCATCATACCAAAGAATATTTTCTCTGAATATAGTAGAGAATTCTAGGTTGACAGTTATTCTATTGTCCCATTTTTTATCTGGGCCCTGTAGTCTCTGGTGAGAAGTCAGTAGTCAATTGAATTATAGGTCCCTTGTATATAATTTGTCATTTTCTGAGTCCTTTGTCAGTCCTTTATACTTGGCTTTCGACAGCATGACTATTATGTGCCTCAGTATGTTCTTCTCAGTACTTATCCTGCTCCGTGATTTTTGATACTATAAACTTGTGTTATTCATCAAATTTGGAAAAAATATGACCATTATTTCTTAAAACAGTGTTTTGCCTCATTCTCTCTCCTCTATTTCTAGGACTCCAATTACACGTATGTTAGACTCTGTGGTATTATTTAACAAGTCCCTGAGGCTCTCTTTGTGTTCATTAAAAATTTTTTTTAATCTGTTTCTCTCTCACCTCCTGCTGAGAAATAATTTCTATTGCTCTACCTTTAAGTTTAATTAATTCTTCCTCTTCATCTCCATTCTGCTGTTAACTTCATCTAAGAATGTTAATTTAATATACTATATTTTTCAGTTTTAGAATTTTCATTTTTTATTGTTTCTAGTTTATTCCTGAGATTTCCAATCTTTTGACTTGTGTGAGCGTATATTTTTCCTCTTCTGAGAATGTGTTTCATTTTCCTGTTTTTTTATAGATTATATAGCTTTGGATTCTATCTTAGATATTATAAATGTTAAGTTGCAGAGACTGTGGATGCTGCATTTTCTCTTTGATGAGAATTTGTGTTTTAATTTAATTCTATCATGTAATTAATTATCTTACTTGGACAAGAACCACAAGCTCTGTTTCTTGGGCAGCACCCTTGATCTCTGTTCTGATCTTTTGTCCTTAGTTAAGTTGTCTGGAATCTGCTATCATATGTGCGATTCGGGGTCAGCAAGGAATGACAGTAGACATGGTTTGGGAATCTCCTTTCCAATTCTTTCCATTCCAGAATCCTCACCACTCTATGTTTTCTCCAGATTAAGTCTTCTGATTTCCTAGGGCATGAATATTATAATTTTTCCATGTTCTGATTCCATGTGACCTCACACTAATTCATAAATTGGAGACTCACGTAGTGCAACTCCCACCTCCAAACAGGGACTCTTCACTAGACTTTCACTAGACTCTACCTGCTCTGTTCACTCTCCATTGCCTTTAAGTTGCTGCTTTCAGTAATATGTTCACAGTTTATGGCTGTTAACTGATAAAGGATTAGTTAGTCAGAATTTTACTAATTCCCAGAAACAGAACTCACTAATGTACCTTGTAACTACCTTTCTGAGTTATACCTTTGCCTAATTTCACATATTCTGTAATTCAGATATCAAGGAATTTGGTAAACCACAAACTGGTTACAACCAACTTCATATAACAGTTTACTAACAATATCACTCAATTTTTCATCTAACCAAAGTTAGAAAAAATTAATTAATTAATGCAAAGTTTTAAAATTACATCCCAACTTATACTTACCTAGCTCCCAAGATATCCTTTTTGGCAAGGCCTATTCCAGCTATAACTTTTACCCTCACAATTCGGGAATTTTCCTAAAATACAAAAATTTACATTTTATTTTCATGTAATGTATAACTTAAATAAGACACATATCTTTAAATATATACATACCAAATAAGATAACAGGATATTAAAATTAATTAGAAGAATCTTTTTTCAGGAATTAATATGACTAAAAGTATACAGAGAAAAATAAAAATTGTATTGCTATTTGTAATGACTGGATTATCTACAAAGAAAACCCAAAGAAGCTAGAGTCAAATTATTATAATGAGCAAAAATTTATCATTGTTGCCAAGAAAATCCAAAACCAAATTACTGGAATTTACATGGATTCATCATTTTTGCTAGGTATAAGATAACACAAAATTCAGAGTTCACAATCATTTGTAATAATTATTTAGACAGGTAAAATTATTTTAAAAATGCCATTCAATAAACTATATGTTAAATAAAACTATAATGTATTGATATTTTAATGTATGAAACATTAAAATTCTTGGGTATCATAATAGCATGATGAGGTTTTATGTAAGAATGTCTTATTTTTAAGAGACACATATTGAAGTATTTAGGGATAAAGTAAGATAAAGTTTGCAACTCACTCTTTAATGGCTCAGAGAATAAAAAGTTGAACATGAGTGAATGTGTGTGTATATGGAAGTAAAGGGAACAACCAACTGTTGCCAATTTGTGGATCTGACTGATGGGTAATCAAGCGTTCATTACACTATTATTTTGTTGTCCCAAAGATCTGAAATTTTTTAAAATAAAAAGGTGGTAACTGTTATAAAACAGTATAACACAGTTTTGTATATATATACAATATATAACAGTATAAAACAGTATAACTGTAGTAACTGTTATAAAACAGAATGCACATTTAAAAAATTCATAAATAAGCAAAACTGTTAGATACAGAGAAAAAAAATTAAGAAAAAATGTCAAGACCTTTATGGATAAAATTTGTAAGTAAAGAAAATAAGGAAAATACAAATAAATGAAGAAGTTCACTATATTCATGGAAGTAAATATTTAATATTATTATATGTTTTCTCCAAAGTAAATTACAAATTCAATATAATTCCAACTCCCTGCCTAAAATTATTTCATAAATCTTAAAAAATGATTCTAAAATTCATACAGAGGAGTGAGAATGAGTAAAGAAGTAAAAAATAATATTTGATCACTATGTTATACTATATATAAAAACAAACTCCCGATATATCAAATTTTAACAATGAAAAAGAAAACTTTAAAAAATTGTTAAGATATTTTAGAATATTTCTGACATTGAAGAAAGAATTTTAAAAAATATAAACTCTAATCGAAAAAGTTGTTAGATCTGACACTAAAATTACATATCCTTTGTGTGAAAAGAGATGCCATGAGCAAAATTAAAAAACAACAGGACACACAGAGTAGAAACATCTAAAATATATATACCAAGTGCAAATTATGATTATCCAGGGTATATTGTTTTTGTTTGGATGGTAAGTCCTGTCTGACTCTTTGCAACCCCATGGACTGTAACCCACCAGGCTCCTCTGACCATGGGATTTCCCAGGCAAGACTAGTGGAAGGGATTGCCATTTCCTTCTCTAGGAGATTGACCCAGGGATCAAACCTGCATCTCCTGCATTGCAGGCAGATTCTTTACCACTGAGCCACCATGGAAGCCCATCTGGAATATATCAAGAACTCCTAAAACCCACAAAGTAATACTTAAACAACATAATATAAGAAATCATACAGAATGTTCAATAAACACATGAAAAGATCCTCAATTTCACCAGTAATAAGAAAGATCTCTAGTGTACGTGCTGCCAATACAAACACAAGTGAGAACTCTAATACACTGTTCATGAGAGTAATTTTGAAGAGATAGTTGGCAATATCTATTGAAAGCTCTAAATCAATAGCCCAGGAATTTCACTATTAGATATATGCCCTAGATAAACTATCACTGACATACACAAGGCCAAAAGTTTCTCAGTAGCATTTATAAGATCAACAAATGTGAAATAAATGTTGCCTAACAGAGAGGAACCCAACTGGTTCTATTCTAAAATTACTCCATCAGCCAGATGAATGGATAAAAAAGATGTGATACACACACACACACACACACACACACACACACAATGGAATACTACTCAGACACAAAAAAAGAATGAAATTTTGCCATTTGCAACAACATGGATAGACTTGCAGGGCATTATGCTAAGTGAAATAAATTATATAGAGAAAGACAAATATTGTATGATATACTTATATGTGGAATTAAAAAAATACAACAAACCACTGGAATATAACAAAAAAAGAAGCAGGCTCAGACACAGAGAACAAATTAGTGGTTTCCAGTGGGGAAAAGTTGGGAGGGGCAATATAAGTGTGGCAGAGTAGCAAACTACTGGGTATAAGATAGGCTCAAGGATGTAGTGTACATCACAGGGAATGGTGCCAATATTTTGTAATAACTAACCTTTTAAAACTATATAAAAATTCTAAAACATAGTAAAATATCCCATCAGCAAGTAGTAGGTCATATTCCTTTTTGAGGAGAAATCTGGATGGGGGATAATATACATATCATAGGTATTTATTTCAGTCTTCTTCCATTTCTAAATACTTAGAACCACCCTCACTCCTGGAAGTTTCAGTGAATTAATATGATAACAGAAATATCCTCAAAGCTACAAAACTCAGACAACAAATTCATATAACACAAAAATCCTTGACTAGAGATACTAGATACTTTATAACTTTTCTCCATCACCAAATATTAAATACACAGCCGATCTTGCAAGTAAAAAGAGAAATCCTCAAGTATCAGAAATAAAGGCAATTGAAAATCAGAGAGGAAAACATAAACTGAAATTTCTGTTTTCTGTGGGGACTGATTTCCAAAAATCTGAAGAGATTTACAGAACTACCATTTTTTCCTGGAAAGTCACTGAATAATTAGGTCAATTAAAATATTCCATTGGCCCTACAACTGAATTTTCCTATACTAGTTGACTGGGAAGTGGCTACTCTATTAAGTAGGTGCTAATTCCCAAGACTGAGTCTGAAAATCAGATATCTTTTCAGGGATGACTTAATAAATACAAATTTTTTCAAGCGGTAAAGTATAATCAAAGGTGCCCTCAGAAAATAATGTTATTTGATAATCTTATCTTTTCTAAGTGTAGACAATTGTTTGTGATTTGTACATGATCTTAACTGAGGGAAGAAATTATCATTCCCTTCTAAAGAAAGCTAATCCACATCTGTTACTGTTAATCCATCTCCTGACTTAAAAATCACCTACATTAGCCTCTACTGAAACTATCCCCCAGAAGTCTCCTGAAGAAATGTAGCAAGCATTAAATAAAAACAATTCCAAGGGGTAATAACTTACAGTCACAGGCACATTTAACTTTTAAACTTTATCCTTGCATTTTACAACCACAAAAATGAGAACTACTTACTTCAGATGCTGTGGTTAAATGATGTAAAGCTACATTGATTTAAGATTCTTTCAGGAAACTAAATAAGAAATACCATTTATTTTCATATTTGCATTCATATAATTTCATTTTATGTTTATGCTAAAAAATTGTCCCCACTGCTCTCTTTGATCACATCCATCATCAGAGATCACACCCACATTATCTTTGAAAATGAAGAAGGCCATATATGTTGCAACTAGAGACCAAACTCTTCAGTAATTTTAGAATGGTGAAAAGTACTATTAACAGAATTCTAGATACTACTCAAATGAGTAAAAAACAGACCAAAAAAAAAAAGGAAACATATTTTCCTTAATCAAAACAGAGACTTTATCCTCAAGTAGACCAGGGCTCTTCACTAAAGCTGGAATCTCCCCCTCTTTCACTCACAAGGGAGCTTTACTGATTTTTGAAAGTGAAATGAAAAGGTTGAAAATTGCAGGCAAAGACGTGTGGCTTTTTTCAAGGACAGGGAGAAACAAACTGGTAATGTGTTATCAATGCAGGCAGCTTCAGTAATTAAAAGCAGCTTTCCAAAGGCTGAGATTTTCTCTACAATTCATGAAAACAGTGATTAATTATGCCTTAATTTTCTGTTAACCTCCCCCACCAAATAAATAAATAAAAACCAGGAACAGGAAATCCAGAGCTTTAAGTCTTTCCATCTCTCAAAGGTCTTGGGAGAATTTTTGTGAACCTCTTCATCCTTCTCCCCTCCTTTCATTGCCCACTTCCACCAGTCTACTTTTTAAAAAGATATGTCCTGTGTTTATTTGTCTCTGAGTTTTTATACACGCTGGAGTCCCTCTGCCTGGGAGATACTTCCCCATCCTCTACCCCTTCATTGTTAAAAGTCCTATATCATCTGAGCAGATTCTTTAGAGACCATTAAAAATGGAATTATTAATATTATTTAATGACAGAAAATAATTATGATGTTAATTGGAATAATCAAGTTGCCAAATGTTATCTATTCTGTGACAACCCCATAAAATCATAAATTCAGATGGATAAAGTAAATATGCAACAATGAAAATAGCTACCATAATAATGAGATAAAGGTTTGAAAATTTAATTTAAAAGGTTTGGTATAAATTCAATTTTTTTTTCTTAAAAAAACTCCTGTCCACTTTTTAAAGACCAAATGCTATCTTTTCTGAAACTCTTGATATGAATTTTCCTTCTCTTTGTTAGAGGCTCAATTACATAGCATCTATCACATACCATCTTGTATCTGAGGCAATAAACTATGCGTCTTTCTCGCTTATTAAAATTGTGAATTTTTGAAGACCAAGAAACTCATCTTTATGTTTTCTCTGCATCCTCTATAGAATCCAGCAGATTACTTGGCAAACAGTAGGGGATGATAAATTCTTGATTAACCTCAAATCTTTCTGAAGTAGCTCAAAGTAAGAATAAAGTACCAAATTAAAAGCAAGGGAAAGTCTGCACAAACAGTGAGCTCCCAGCCCCTTCACTTCTTGGGCCCAGAAGACTGGAAGACTTCTCTGTGAGGAAGTGAAAGGGGTTGGGGGTAT